AGAACTAGAGGAAACGGCCACAAACTGAAGCAACAAAAGTTCCACAGGAACTTAAGGAAAAATTTCTTAATAGTGAGGGTGCCAGAGCCCTGGAACAGGCTGCCCAGAGAGGTTGTGGAGTCTCCTTCTCTGGAGATCTTCCAAACCTGCTTGGACACAGTCCTGTGCCACGTGCTCTAGGTGACCCTGCGTGTGCAGGGGGTTGGACTAGATGAGCTCTAGAGGTCCCTTCCAACCTTAAGCATTCTTTGATTCTATGACATGGGGACATGTCCCTACGTGGCAATAGGACGGATGCTCGGCTGCAGGTCCCACAAAGCTATGACAATGGCAGGTAGTCCTGTGCTTTGAGACTTTAGTTCGGCAGACCCGTGTGGCTGGGCTCTTCTCCCATGCTCCTCCCCAGCATGCCAGCCTGGATGCCGGCTGGAGCCGCGACAGGAAGCCGGGGATGCCTGGCGAGGAACTAGGAGCCAAGCCAAGGGCTTGCACCTAGCAAACAGCTCCAGGACAACTGCCCGAGCGTGTGATGCCACATGGAGCCTGCACGCAAACCCAGAGCCAAGGTGGGGAGCGCGGGGTCTCCAAGGCCCACGGGAAGCGCCGGGGCGCAGGGTGAGCCCCCTGCCCTGCACTGCTCCCAGGAGGGCTCTCCTCAGCCCCCAGGATGTGGGGCGGCTGCCGAGCTCCTGCACAAGGGGCAGGCCTGGCCCAGCGGCCCCAGCTCCGCGCGGCGCCGCCTCCCGAGGCCCCTCAGGTGGCTCCGGGTTTCCTTGGCACGGGGCACCGGCCAGGACCAAAGTCCAGGGCGGGCAGCGCGCAGCAGCAGCGGGCAGGGCACACGGCTTGCTTAACCCGGGGGCCAGCACCATCAAAGCCCTCCCCACGGCTGCAGCACAGCCAGCAGCCACAGCCCACGCTTCGCCCTCCACGCAGGACAGGGAGGTCTCAAGGAGACCAAGCGGATCAGCAGGACATTGAAAGCACTGCCAGGCTGCAGCCGGGACATCGCTGCAAGCTGCAGATGGCCAAGGTGGCCCTGGAGAGCTGGCAGCACAAGGACAGGACCTGGAGGCGCCGGGATGGCCCCTCGCGGCCCCGCTGCTCCTGGGGAAGCGGCAGTGCCGGTTCCAGGCCCTCGGGCAGGGCTGGCAGAAAGGCGGGCACCAAGGAGCGCTGGGCTGGCAGCACAGCACACAGCTCTGCAGAAACCCAGCACGTGCCGCGGCCTCCGTGCTGCGTGTCCCTGCCTGGGGGAGCGCACCAAGCGCCCGGATGCGCCAGGGCTCCAGGAGGCACCGCTGGCTGCTCGCGAGGCCTCCCTGCCCTGCCAGCCCGCAGGGCTCACCAGAGCCAGGTTTGCTCCCGGGCACGGCGCCCTTCCCCGAGGGCGGCAGGAGGCCCCATGGCCTCGGTGCCAGCTCGGCACGGAGCCGGAGCCCCAGCTCTGCTCGGCGCTTGCTGCCCTGGGCCTCTCCTGCCCAGCCCGAGCTCATTTCCCCCTCTTGCCAGTGCAGCCTGGTAGCCACACGCGCGCCTGCAGCGGCCGGTCTAACATGTCCCCACACTGGGGATACAGAGCAGCAGGTCCTCGGGATCCCACCGTGCCCTTCTGGGGGAGCAGGGGCCGCAGGGATGCCCACGGCGGAGAGCCCTGGCACAGTGCCATTCCCTTGGGAGCAGCAGGAGAGGAAGGAGCCCCCTGCTCGCATCTGCGCTCCTCCAGGCTGGCTGGAAAGGCAAAGGGTCATCCCATGGTGGCTCTCAACTCCATGAGGAACACAAGGTCACAGCTCTGTGGGATCCTGACCTGGGATGAAGCATCTCGGGACCCTGGAGCCACACGAGTTTGAGCTGGCACATGCCCAGGCCTCAAAGGAGCTGGCCCAAAGCGTAGTCCCAGCCTGCTCAAGAGATTCCTGGGTTACGAGCCAACACCAAGCATGGAGATGGAAAAGCATTGGGGGGACCACAGCACGAAGGGGGTCAAAGAGCTCCCAGGAGAGAAACCTGAGGCTGCAGCTCAGCCACCCTGCAGTCCAGGCACTGACTGAACTGCAAGACAGACCACACGTGCCAGGAGCCCCACAGGGACCCTGGGACATCAGCACAAGCATGGGACAGCTCCTGTGCCAGGGAGAGGGCGCCCAGAGTAACTCCTCACAACCCGGAGATGGCAGTGCCCTGCGGGAGAGCACGTGGCGAGCGGAGGAAGCCACCTGCAGATCAAACTGCCCGTCCGCCGTGTCCCGACGAGCTCTCAGAATCCCAGCC